CTAGATGATTGCATAGGTAATCTTGCCTGAGCAGTCAGCTTACTATAAGCGTATTGGTGAATTCCGTACGTGCAGTAGTCTGGCGTGGGTTCGAACCCCATCGAGGCCATAGAGCTTTTCACAATTGGGTCACGACCTGCCAATAGGCAGTCAGGCAACACGCGTGTCTGAACTTTTGGCTAGTACTTGGGCTGTCAGTATGATAAGTTATTACGCAGTGCATACTACTGACTGCCTGTTAGCAGTTTGTGAATATTACGCAGTTATACCGCAGCTCAAATATTCAGAGCAAGTTTTGGACCGAACCCGAACAGATCTGTTCCGATGGATTTACTCAAAGTTTGCGCACTAATTTCCCCCGAAATTAAACGAGACAATGATGCAATATGCAGACCGACGTTCTCATTACTAAAGTATGCTTACTTATTTGACTAAAGTAAGTTAGGTTATGATTTATTCGTGGTGGGACGCCTAGGGTTAGGATTAAAATTTAGAATTGGCGTTCGGGTTTAGCTGTCAAAGATAGGTTCCAGGCTTAGGGATAGGTTTAAAATTGGGTTAAAGATTAAGGGTTAGGGTTAGATGTGCATGTCACATACCGTCTTACCCAATCCAACCTTCTTTAAACTATAAACCTTCTGCCCGTTTACACGCAGCTAACTCACATTTCAAATTGCGCGCTCTGTTCCAAAACCTTGTTGGAGTAATAAAACAAACATATGCTATAAGTGCAGAGTTTCACACTGCATTCTACAGACGCCATTAATTGTCGCGCCTATCGACTGCACTAATAAAACAAACATTAACATCCTTGCCGTATTACAGGAGTCTCTTGCCACCGCCGTTCTCCTACTCATACGGTTCTGCTCGATTTGGTTCCACGGCGACGCCTAGGTATGGTAGGACATTCTTGTCACGTACCTTAATTGCGTTAACGAAGACAGCATCCGCTCTTTGTCACAGCCATCTAAATATCCTAAATTTGGTCTAAAGGTGAGCGTTTGGAAAGCCAAGTACTATTTGATGGCCACATACCGCAAGATATGGTCTCCTCCACGTGTACGGCAAAAGAAGATCGGGGCGATCGAGTGATTTATCTACCTCACACAGTGACCAGTGTCATAAAATGGCCCGTTGCACAAACCTCGCGCAGGATTTATTTTGTCCATTCTGTCAATGTGTGTAGCCTCTCGGTTGTAAAAGGCATCGAGCTACACGGTTTCCACACACTGCAGACATTGACATCTCGAAGAATACTGCAGCCTCGGTTCATGGACGGAGTCGCGAAGATGAAACTCCGTTGGTCTTACAGTGAAAGTTGGTTAGGTCATGCACTTTTCTGAGCCAACGAGGAGCTTACCGACAAACCTGCAGTACAGTCACCATAGTAGACGGAAATAACTAAATGATGCCTGGGCAAAATGACGGGTCTTCAGTTTTGGGGAACGGAACGCCAGACGCCTAATGACTGCTGAAGACCTAGGCGACGATCGAAGGGAACAGACTGCGCCCGATCGCGACGCCGTGAACTCTGTGGACG